GAAATTCCAGGATTTTAGACAAGCCACACCGCAAGCTATTGACACCAGAGACTCCTGATCTCTCCTTTCGAGTTGAGGACATGCGCACTTTAAATCCAGTTTTTTAAATCCACTTTATGATCCAGTTTTTTTGTTTGTTTGTTTGTTTGTTTGTTTTTAATCCTTAGCTTTTGCTGTCAGTTAGCCTGAGATCCAGAGCTCAGAATTTATCCATCACAGCATGAGAGAAAAGTTTTATCAGGGGTGTTTGGCTCACCTGGGAAGCAAAGGAGTTTCTGCCTGCTGCAACCTGAAGTCTCCCTCCAAGTTTAGGCAGCAGAAACAGGCAAAATTCAAGCCTGCATTTGGAGGCCATAGCTTTCTTTCATGGCATCTGAAAGCACTAATCTTATTTTGATAGCTGCAGTTTGGATTTAAAGACTTTTTACAGTAAATGTGAGTCATCAGCCTTGAGCTTCAATGCTGAGAGAAACACAACAAACCCAATGTCCCTGAGAAAAATAAACCTGTCCTTTCAGGCAAACTCCAGCTGTATCTTTCCCTCCCAACAGTTTAATTCTCCTTCACGCAATTCTCCTATTTAAGAGTTTTGTTTTCTTTTGGGAAGAGGAAAGAAGGGGGATGTATCCCTCAAATAAAAACCTAAAACTTGTAAATCAGATGGAATCAGGTTGATCAAAATAATCAATGAAGGTAATGAACAATGCCCTGCTCTTAGAGGGAATTTTGCATCCAAATAATGGCTGCACACAGTCATGTTCTTAATAAAAGTGCTCTACTGAGTGAAATCTCCCAGGGAGAGGTTGGTTTAAAAAGCCCAGGCTGGCAGTTTTCAAATTCGAGCTTACATCACAATCCCAGGAGGGCCGGTTAATCACACATTCCTGGGCTCCACCCCCAATCCCTGATTCTGTAGAACAGGCTGGGCCCTGGGAACTGCACCACTAACAACCTTCCCTGCGAAGCTGAGGCTGCTGTCTGGGGGACCACACTTTGATAACCACAAGTCTAAGTGCTTGTGAAAACATAAAAACAGAGAAGCAACTGTAGGAGACTCAGCCTCATTCCCCTGACATGTAATTCTTTCACAAATGGCATTTCTCCACTCACATTCAGTCAGCTCAGTTCTCCCATGAGGCTTACTTACTCCAGATTCCCTTTTTTTAAATCACCCTATGCCCTGGCATAGACAGAAGGTGAGCAAACTGCTCATAAGGATCTTCAAGTTCTCAGCTACCAGGATTAAGAGGGAACAGGGTGGAATTTAATCATCCATCACCCCTTTCTGACTCTAATTTTGCACCCAGCTTGCTTCTCTCCCCCACGTATTCCTAGCTCTGATTGTGGGCTGTCCCAAAGCTTAAAGCTCAGATCGTGACTTTTGCTTTTCATGTTCCTTCCTCCCTCCAAGATTTTATCCATTTTCAGGGTGGATTACCCCACCCAGTCACCCAGCACAGGCATTTTCCTTGATCTCTCACCCTCCTTCTCCAGCTGCTCCTAACCATGTGTGTGGGCTCTTTCCTGGATTCACTAGTTCTTAGTCAAAACCAGGTTTTCTTCTCTGAAATTATTTGTCAATCTAATTAATACTCTCCTCCAACCCCCACCTCCATTTAGGTCATAAACTCCTCTTGGGTGCTGGAGTTATTGCTGTGGTCTCCTAATTAATTCTGCGGGTATGAGAAACACATGCACTGAATTGATGGAACTGATTAGAATTGCAAAGCAATGGCATCTTTCTTATTTTGCTCCAAGTGTGCAGAGTCTGAGGGAAGTTAAGATCTGAGTGTTTCTTGGGCCTCATATATATCAGAGAAACTCATTTTTCCCCCACCACTCTGTGAGAGTGCCTGGTCCATGGAAGGGAATCAATAAGTATTAACTGAATAAGTAAAATTAATTAACTAATTTGGACCCTCCCTGGTGGTGCAGCGGGTTGAAGCACAGCACTAAGAAGCTAAAGCCACTTCAGCATGAGTTCGATTCCCGCCTGCCCCGGAGGTGACCACATGGTGTGGCAGACCTCTCCTGACCTGCCCGCTGCTCCCCTCAGCAGTGTACTTCATCAATCTGCCTGTTCTGCCCCCCACTCTGTCTCTGGTGAAGCCTCTCGCCGCCCCTGAGCCTCTGGCCTGTACCCCAATTCTGTATGCACAAATAAATAAATCTTAAAAAAAATTAATTTATTTATTAGTGGATGGATGGAATCTCTGCCACCGCATTCCACTAAACTATAATCTCCTACACATATTCCTGCCAGACTCTGTTTAATAAAACATTATTTTTGACTCTGATACCCTGTGTTTAGTTCTCGACTCACCGAGGACCATGTTGAAACTCAGCTTGGAAGCAAATCCCTCCTTAATTTCTTCCAGCTTACATTCCTTTTCTCATCCCCCATAATGCCCCAAACAAATATTCCAGAACAGGCAATATGCTGTAGTTAGTGTTCTAATTTTGCACCCAGCTTGCTTCTCTCCCCCATGTACTCCAAGCTCTGATTGTGGGCTGTCCCAAAGCTTAAAGCTCAGATCGAAGAGGAAGGCTGCTTTGTTCTTCTCCTCTATGCTGGCACAGAAACCCCCTCCTCCCTGGTTGTTCTAACGACTCTTCTCATAGCTTGTCTCAGTGCCACTTAATCTTCCCACTTTGTTCTTAAAGGTTTATATTATCACATTTCCTGTGTTATAAATGACATACAATAATCTGCATATCTAAGGTATAAAACTTGATAAATTTGACATATTATCATCATAATCAAGGTAATAAACACATCCATCACCCCCAAACCCCACAGATTTCCTCATGACCCTTGGAAATCCCTCTTCCTCCTCTCCCCCTCGTCCCAATGAACTGCTAATCGGTTACAAAAATTCGTTTCTATAAGTGAGATCACACAGTATGTCTCCTTCTCTGCCTTGTTTCTTTCACTCAACATAGTTATTTCGTGACTCCCCACACTGTTACCTGTGCCAAGAGGTCATTCTTTTACTGTCTAGTATTATTACATTGCATGTATGTATCACAGTTGATTATCTACTCACCTGTTGATGGAATTTTGGGTTGTTTCTATCCATAGTTTGGGGTTACTACAAGTAAAGATTCTAATTTGTGTTGAACACAAATTACAAGATTTTGAAAGCAAAAATTTGTGTTCTTGTGATTCTCTGTTACTCAACATCTGTTTGACTTCTGATGTGAAGCTTCAGAACCACTGCCCTGGGTTCAAGTCCTTCTGCTACCTGGGCCTTTGTGCCCTGCCACCTGATCACGCCTGTCTAAAACACAGGTGGGCACCCCAGACAGGAACAAGCCAAGACTAGACCAGGCTTCAGAAAGTTGGGGCTTTCAGGTAGGCACAAGCTGGGGTAGACCATGAACCCCTGTGTGTGAGGAAGGCTCACTTCACAACATCAGGGAGAGGATATTTTATTTTTCATTTTCTGTCTCGAAAGTCCTCTGGCTTGACTAAGCCTGCCCACATTGAATGCAGATGCCCTGTCCCAGAGGACACAAGAACCATGAGACAGGGAGAGGAATTTCCTGTGCTCCTAAGAATGGAAGGGCAAAGGAGTTAGCAAGGTGGTGGGCGGCCGAGCACTCTGTGAGAAGCCCCTTGGGGAGGGAGAGCTCCTGCAGAAGATGGGCAATGCCTAGGAGAGGTGCTTATGTTGTTTGCTGAGCAGAATGTAGGTGACCTTTCCTGATCCCCCCACCACTCTGAGTTTTCCAGTAAGTTCTATTAAACCCATGAGTATTTGGCATGAGGAATTTTTGCTGTGGAAACTAAAAAAAGGTCAGAGGCTTAAGCAGAAGACTGAGATGATTTAGTTTGCAACCAACAACCTGGGACCCTGGGGTCTGAACTGCACCCAAAGAACACAGAGCCCCCTGGGACTCAGAGTCCAGAGGATTTTGGCTTCTACAGGTCACAGAACTGGAAAAGTCAAGCAGATGTTGCCAATTCTTGGGGGCAGGAGGCCTCTACTGAACCCCTCTCAACCCTGAAGCTGAAAAGTGAGAGGAGAAAAAAAATTGTGGTTTGGCTCTATAAATGCAAAACTAATTATAACCATTTGTGCAAACTGCTTCCCATTACTGCTTAATTGCTCACCAGGCCGTATAATAACAATTGCACATTGCATGAACCACGCATCTGATTAGCTGAGTTTTATTTGCCTCCAGTCTCCAGTGGGCCAGTCTTCTTGTCTTGCTTTGGTACCCTGGCTGTCTGTTGGCTAATATAATATTTTACGTACAGCCTACGTGTGTGTGTGTGTGTGTGTGTGTGTGTGTGTGAGAGAGAGAGAGAGAGAGAGAGAGAGAGAGCGAGAGAGAGAGAGAGAGAGAGAGAGAGACACTAAGCGTTTGGTAAATGTCTCCTTTAAGAGGGGTATTACCTAGTGTTGGGTCAAATATTGGTATATTATCTAGTTTGAGATGTGGCCAAAAAATAAGACAATGTGAGTCCTATTAACCCTTTAAGTCAGTTTTTACATTTTTATTTAGGAGACCTATAAACTGTCCTCATGGAAGTAACTCCATCCCTGAACACCTCTCTAACAACACTTGCAGAATCATTCACAGACAATGCTAATAACTCATCCTAAATCCATCCGTCTCTAAAGGTAATAAAGTACAGAACATCCCCTCAGGATACAGTTCATAGAGAGAGTGGATAAGAAGTTTCTTTAGCGGTTCCTCCTCAGGAACAACTTGGAAACAGAGGACACCAGCTCTTGAGAGTATCTCCAACAATCTTATAAACTCTTCCTGATAACCTCCTGTGTGGCCTGGCTATGGCCTGTGCACTGTGATGGCAGAGTGAGGGTGGGCTGGGGTCAGCACAAAATACATAGATGACAAAAACAACCATCTGTCCTTTGGGAGATGGTGGCTTGGCAGGGTGAGGAGTCACATATGAATAAAATGAGCCCAGGTAAAAGAAAGAAAGCACAGAAGAAGTCAGTACAGATACATCAGCAAAGCAATCTTACTTCTGCATGTCTTCTGATCGGGGTTGAGGATGTACCCTTGTTTGCACCTGCAGATGTAGGAGCCAGGGGTATTGATGCAGAAGTGGGCACAGTTATGCGCCGAGACGCTGCACATGTGGACCGCTGAAAGAGAAGGGACAGAAAGTTAAGGCAATGACGATTCTTTCTCTAAAGTCATTCACCCTGCAAATATTAATTCAGAACATACTGTGTGGGGCAGAGCTGGACCCAAAAAGCAATACGCTGTATCCTCCAGGAGGATTTCCAGCGTCTGGTCACACAGGCGAGTCTACACAGATGGCACCAGCAATATACAGGTGATGGGCCGTGGAAGGCCAAGGGGAAGAGTTGTTGGCAGACCTGTTTTTAGCTGATACCCAACTAAAAACTGCTTCAATATGACCTATAAAACCAGAAAATTCGTGGTTCAATTAATAATACACAAGTAGTGAGCAGCAGGGAAAGAAAGTTTGCTGACCCCAGAGGGGGTTTTGGCCAGTGCGTGGATTTTCAGTAGGCAGCATTGGGGTTGGAGAAAAAGATATTCATAAAGTAAGGACATAGTAAAGAAACCAGTTTCTCAGGATCATAAATCCCAAGAGTAACGTAAACTTTTTAATATGAAAAAGTGTTTACTAAAAATTTGGAGTAAAAAATTGCATTCATATATTCCATGTTTCCACAATCTTGTCACAATTTAAATACTTCTGCATTTCGTCTCTGAGGTATGTTGGATTCAGAATCATCAATTCTTGCATAAGTTCTGTCTAGAACTCATAAAAATTCTTACTTTTTTTCAATTTTAATTTGTGACTTCACTCATTTTAATGCAATTCAAGCATACTTTAAAATTAACAAGCAGCAGCATAAACAGAGCATAAGTTATCCAAGTGTTCTCGTAAACAAAAAAGATGTCTATATGTAGAAACATATTTTTAGGAAGCTAAAATAAAAGAGAATTTCAAAAGCTAAGTACAATCCCATTAATCAGTGCTTAGCAAAATTCAGTTATTGATGAATTTGATGGTGTAGATGAAGTATAAGTCTCTACTTCCAAGAAAGAAACATAGTGATCAATAAATCAACTAAGGGAGTAAAACATTTTTAACTTCATAATAATACAATTTAGAGTGAGTGTTGTGAGTTTATGATTATGTTTTAGCTCCTATTAAAATACAAATAACATTAGGAAACTAGAAAGTAAATCCAGTTGGTCATTTTTACTTTAGTAGAGTAAGTTTTTGCCTCTTTGTTAAAATCAGGATTCAAAATAGCATTGTAAAGGTTAAAATGAGGACAATGGCAAAATGCTTAGGGCAGGGCCCAGGTTTTTCACTCAAACATTAATCACAGATTCTATGTATATTGAGATGTTTACTCTATTTAATGGAATCTAAGATGTACTCCAGTTTCAGAGACATTAAAATAAAAAGACATGTAAAATTGATTTCTATTATTAATAGATTGTATATTGAAAATTCACCTATTCACTAAACGTTATTTATGACCCTAAAGTCAAGACATTGCTTTTCTCGTCATTTGTGGGCATGTTCAGAGGAAGGAAAGTGGGTCCCCAGAGCCTATGCCTACAGCTGAGGCTGACAAGACTACACTCCGCTTTCCCATTCCAGCTCTCAGACTCAAACTAGTCTGTTTTGACTCTTTAAACAGGTTTGTTTAGTGCCACATTTTTGCAGGGAATGTTGTTTAAAATGGCCATGGTGCTGCAAAGCTGGTGTTTGCTGGAGTGAAGTAAAGTCTAGTGTTCCTAAGTGCAAAAAGGCTGAGACAGCCTTATGAGAAAGATATGTGTCGGGTACATTGCACTCAGACCCTGCTGCTGACTGAATGGATTGTAGTTCAATGAATTAACAATATATATTATGAGATGTCTTTAAGCAAAACCAAACATAAAACAAGATTATGTATTGATCGGTTGACAAAAATGTAACCAGCAGCTGGCAGAACCCTAACTCTGTATTTCCTCCAGGAGCTGTGAGAGCCTGTATTTGCTAATTCAGTGTTCACAGTGACTCTGTGCCTTCTTCAAAGAACATATTTGCCAATATCTAGGGACCCTAGCCCAGTCACATTTATTTGTTTGGGTAGCATCTTCCTTTTCTAGAAACTGGCTTTCTTTCTTATTCCAAATCCAGTCTACATGGTAACATGGGGGGTTGCTACGTTGGTGGGAGGAAGTCCTTCTTCCTGGCTGTCCTTGGGCATGTAGGGCTTGACAATCAGAGTCCCTTTTTGGCATTCAGAAAACTAGCACTGGGGAAAAGTGGGGTTAAATTGAAGGTAAGTACCACTGGGTGGTGGAGAACAGGGTTATGTTCTCTCCCAATGTACTGAGGAGTGGGAAGCAGAGAGGGAAGATGGAGAGAAAACAGGGCTGTCACTCATCACTCTTCGCCTTACTCCCACATGTAGTAACATACACTCTCCCCTTGCTAGCCCTAGTTCAAGTTGACTTTCTGTTGCTTTCAACCAAAGGAATCCCAAATGCTTTTACCAAGAAAGAATGAGAATTTATTCTATAGGTGAGTGCCAGAACAAGTGCCTTGTTCTTCTGGGTGTCAATCTTTGTGAAGTGAAGGAAGGGGGATGAGAGGGTCCTGCCTCCTCCACTGCCTGCCAGTGCTCTCCTTTATCAGAAAGACTTTTGGGTTGAACATAGGTCAACGCTTTGTATTTGGGGGCAGAAATCACTAAGTAGCTCCCTAATCATTGCTAGGTTGGAATCTTTTCATCTCATAATTGCTTTCTGTGAATGGATGAAAGAGTAGAAATGATGAGCATGGTGGGACTGACTAGGAGTCTTGAAAGGAACAATTACTAGGTACAACGTCAACACCTATAGGACTCCCACTTAACAAGCATCTCAAAGGGTAAGTGCAGCTTTTCTCCAGGCTTACTGATGAAGATATAGCTAAGGGAAACAATCCTTAAAATTTGCCAGGCCTGAACCCACCCTGGTGGCAGAGAGGGTTAAAGCGCAGCACTAAGAAGCTAAAGCCACTTCAGCATGAGTTCGATCCCCACCCAGGAAGTGACCCACATGGCACAGCAGACCTCTCCTGACCCGCTCACTGCTCCCCTCAGCAGTATATTTCATCAGGGCTGTTCAGGGGCTTTTCTGCTCCCCACTGCCTCTGGTGAATCCTCTCACTGCCCCTGCACCTCTGGCCTGTACCCCAGTTCTGTATGCATAAATAAATAAATCTTTTTTTTAAAGATTTATTTATGCATACAGAACTGGGGTACAGGCCAGAGATGTGGAGGGTGAGAGGATTCACCAGGGACAGAGTGGGGAGCAGAACAGGCAGATCGACGAAGTACACTGCTGAGGGGAGCAGCGGGCGGGTCAGGAGAGGTCTGCCACGCCATGTGGTCACCTCCGGGGGCAGCCAAGGATCAAACTCATGCGGAAGTGGCTTAAGCTTCTTAGTGCTGTGCTTTAACCTGCTGCGCCACCAGGGAGGGCCCAAAATAAATAAATCTTTAAAAAAAAAATTTGCCAGGCCTTAGTGGGGAGAACTACTAGGGAGGGACAAACAGGCTCCAGGCTCCACTGATAAAGCAGCACAGAGGTTAATTAAAAGCAACCTGGGGGTGTCTCTGGTGGCACAGAGGTGAAAGTCTCAGCGCTATGAAGCTATCACCAGCCACTGTAGCCTGGCCAGAGTTCAATCCCCAGCCAGGGAGCTGACCCACATGGCACAGCAGACCTCTCCTTAAATACACTGCTGAGGGAAGTGTATTGGGTGTCCCCCTCAGCAGTGTATTTCAGGAGATCCGCCTGTTCTGCTCTCTACTATGTCTCTGATGATTCCTCTCATCCCCTGCACCTCTGACCTGCACCTCAGTTCTTGTATGCATAATAAATAAATATTTTTAAAAAGGGCAGGCTGCCCAAGTTTCAGTGAGTCACCAGCAGGCATGCACACAGCATGACTTTCTCAGCCCCTAAATTCAGTGTTTTCACTCTGGTTGGGGGCCCTCAGGACATGGGGGTTTTGGTTATCTTGTAAGAAGATGTCAATTCATAGGACACCTGACATTCAAGTTTCTCTGGTGGTCTTGGGAGTATCCTGAGAATGAAACCTCAGGGGTCCCCCCTTACTGTGGCTGTCACTGCCCATGAGTATTAAGCCTCCACTGTGCCCAAATTCACCGCCACATAAGCAGTGTGTGGTATGGCCAGACTACCACTCAAGGGCCGCCTGGCTGCGGAGTCTAATCTCTTCCTAATTGCAGGATAAAGGTTTCTGTATTGATCACACCGGGGGTGAGGGGTGGGGGGGGAGCTGAGGATTGGGGAGACACTGTCTCAGATCTGAGACTGCAGTTGCTCTTTGCAATTCTACCAAAAGCAGACACCCCCCAATGCTTCTCCCTCTGAAATCTTGTCCGTACGTGCTCCATGCGCACTTTCTCATCAGTGTTTTTCAAACTACCGATTTTCGTTGCAGATCATGAGATTAACTGAAAGAATCTGGATTGGTATTTTTTTTTTTAATAGATAAAAACAACTGAGACTATCATCTCTTTCCTGGTTTGCTGCAACCCCTCTCCCTATATGTCTCTAGCCAGGAAACACTTACTCATATATCAAGTCTATGTAGTGCATGGTGATTAAGACGTAGGTTCTGAGCCAGAATGTCTGGGTATGCATTACTATATTGTGCTGTACCACTTAAAGAGCTGTGTGATTTTGCACCTTGGACAAGTTATTTAACCTCTCTGGGTCTCAAGTTCTTCTCCCCCAAAATAGGAGTTATAAAGGCATCTACTTCATAGGCTTGTTGGCTTATTGTGTGCATTGTGAGTTAGCATAGGATCATCGCTCAAAACAGCAAATGTACATGTTATATCAATAAATATTTGTGATTCCATTATGAACCCTCTTGTGGTTATGTTATTAACTCCTGGAACCTCTTGGCAGACCCAGACATTCTGTGACTCTAGAACTCCCAGGTCTTCCCAAGGCCTCTGAAGAGCAAGACTGAATAAAAACATCCTGTTCCTCTGAGATGAGAGTATCTTCCTATCAGCCTGGAAACCTCAGAACTGGGAGTTCTTAACCTCAGAACTGCCACTGGGAGGATAAGTTCTTTGGAGCCAGAGAAGCTGCAGGTTGATCTCTAACTCTGCTACTTGAAGTTGGCTTTTCCTTTCTAAGGCTCAGCTTCTGTGTTCTGTAAAACAGGAATAATATAGTATGTGCCTCATTGGATTGTTGTAAGTATTAAATGAAATGATATGTGGAAAATACTTAGCCCAGGGCAAGGTTAGCTGTTATTATTGAAGTGTGGCTCAATAAATGTTTAAGGAACAGATGAGACTTTCAAAACCTCAATGCCACCACCTGCAACTTTATCACTTTGATCTGACCGTCTGAGTACAGATCAAAGGCAAGACCATCAGCCTAGCTTGCTGGTCCTCGTAATTAAGCACAACACAGTGCACACTGTGTGTGTGTGTACTCACGTGCCATGCACATGAACACATACACTGCGTTCTAACATATCTACTGCAGGCAAAAGCTCCAGCTTCATACACCTGGCAGGTGGTATGGCTGAGACGGGAGTCTGCTCCTCCCAACCATACAAAAGCTTCCTCAGAGTGTTACCCCATAGACACCAACCACACAGCTGGTTTACCTAGTGTGGTTGGGTCATGGAGGCTGCTATCAGAAAACGACTTAGCTTCAGAGAAGAATTTACAACTCTGAACATGCAAAGTGAGAAATAAGGGAAACCTTTGGAAGCAGAACCCACCCTTGCCCGAGTGCTCTTGGGGAATTGGCTTAACCAACTCACTAACCTGTAAAGAGGGAAGAAGGCAGTGTGATACTTCCCCAGCATTTTCTGATACCTTAAGAGAAAGTGCTTTGTGAATGTTAGCTACTGCTGTCTTTACTTGGTAGCTGGTAAAGAGGCCCTGGGGTCTCCTCAACCTTTCAAGATGGCGATGAGGCTGCTCATCAGGACACCGCAGTGCCATGCTGGAGCAGCTATGTATCCTGAAGGGTGGGTTGGGCCTTCAGTGCTCAGCCCCATCTAAACAAAACAACCAAGGAACAGGAAAATCAGACGTGGCCTTATATTACAATAAAGATGGTGGAAGTGGGGGAAATCCAAACTACCTTTTAATTTTGTTGACTGGACATCTAGCCCACAGAGAAGGTTCTTCAGCTAAGGCCACATTTTCTATCTTATCATATCACCTTACTATTTGCTGATAAATCCAGAGCACATATAAAAGAACCTCTCCATTAACATTTTTCAAGACAAGAGAATACACTCTTATGGAACCAACTTCTGGTTTAGTATTTCCACAAAAAGGGGAACATAAATTCTGCAGAAGTCATTTAAAGTCATAAACTTTAAAAATGTGTTCAGCCCTGTAGAACTTTCCCCAGTGACTTAGGCCATGGCACACCACAGTAACACAGTCCTTTTGCGGCGCCAGGGAAAATGGCACTTCTGAACACTTTCCAAATAAATTGTAGAGAAAAACTTTCTTTTTCCTTTGTGGCACTTATTTCTTAAGTAAATCTTTTAATTTTAGACTCAAGAAACAATAGGGTTTCTGCTTTTCAAGGTTACTTCCCTGAGGAGGATCTTTTCTCAAAGACACATCAAAAGCATAATATTCTTCTTCCTCCCCAGGATTTTGGTGGGGAACATAGAGAAAGTCTAGGGTTTATTGCATTTTGAGAACTATTTCCCAAGCTCCCAGAGAGGAAGGTTCCTGATCCAGGAGATGGGGCTGGTTATTAAGCTCATTTGTCACTCATACTCCAGGGAAATACTTCTCATTTAGAAGTAGATAAATTTTTTTGTGTTCCCATCAAAGAGGCATCAGGGCTGGAGAAGAGAGGGACCACCTGGGGGTGGGCAAGGCACGTCCAGTTTCTAGGGTCTAGACTAGAGCTCATTTGGGACCCCCCGGGTCCCCGCCTTCCACCCAGGGAAAGGCTAAGAAGACTGTAGGAGAGGCAGGAGGCCAGGGAGAGAACAAGTTGATCTGCCAGGAAAAGCTGAGGCAAGAGCTCCGGTTGAGGTAACGGAGAGGAGTTTGGCAAGGAAGGGAGAGAAAAGCCTGGTGAGGAGTAGTGTTAGCAAGCAAGAAAAGGAAGAAGACCCTCAAAGTAGAAGAATACAACTTACCGGTTGAAGGAGGTATCTCTGTGCAGGAGTGTGGGGGATCTGCCACCTTAACAGGTGGGAAAGTACCAGGACCATATTTTGGTCCTCCCTGTCACTCAGCCTCTTTGCCGTTTGAGAAAAAAGTCTACTAGCATGACCACAGGCAAAAATGCCTTGGTATTCCACTCACTGCAAGAAGAAAGTGTTAGTATTTTTTCCTTTCATTCCTATCTCTCTTCCAACTCATGAATTCCAACCTAGCAAATGCTAGGGAAGTTCAGAGTGCTAGAGAAAAGCTCCACCTATCTATTCTTCCTCATTCTACAATTTGGGTTAAGTGTGCCTTTCCCAGGGAAATCTCCCTGAGCATCCTGGCCTAAGGGAGGTACTTGGATTATACGTTGCTCCATGTCCCGAATTCTTCCTCCACTAAACTGTTAAAACAGGATCTACTTATTTGCCTGTTATTACATGCTCGGTGTCTTTCTCCTTGGCTAGCATAAACCCCAAGGGAATTTTTTGTCTATCTTTGACTATGCTGAACACCCCTTTCTAGCATAGTAGCTGGGGAAAGATAAGTTTAGCACTAGAACACTAGAAAATGAACGAATGAATACTAATGGTCTCCCCAAACAGCCACATAGGAGCAGAACTTACTGCACAACTTGTTCTGGAACACCGAAGTCAATGACTCAATCTGACTGAAGTTGGCCACCAGGAAGACATGGTCTTCATGGGGCTCACTCCCAATGGCCTTCAGGGTGTTGAGGTCCACCTGGCCCACGCCGATGGCGAAGATCAGGATGCCTGTGTCCCGCGCCTTTGCAGCCACCTTGGCGACCGAGTCCTGGGGTCTCCCATCCGTCACGATCATTATGACCCGAGGCACATTCTCCCTCAGTGGTCGGGCCCCTTCTGCTTCTGAGAATGCAATGTTCAGGGCATACTGGATGGCCAGTCCTGTCATGGTGCCTGTGGACAGATGCCTCATCCTCTTGACAGCACGCTCCACCTCGGACTTCCTCTTGAAGGTTTTGAGGGAGAACTCATTCTTGATGGTGCTGCCATATTGCAGCAGACCCACTCGGGTGACATCAGGGCCAATGTCCAAGAACTGTAAGATGTTCACAATGAACTCCTTGACCTTCGCATAGTCGTGGGTGTTGACGCTGCGGGAGCTGTCAATGATGAAGACCAGGTCTGCACGCTTATTCTCACAGGAGCTCTCTGTGGAAAGAGGGGAGGGCAAGCTCATTAGAAGAGTGTTCACGACTCAGTGCAGGTTGGCTGTTGTTGGAAATACTAGAACCAGGTGGGGTTCTAGCAGGATACTGCAAGGAATATGGAAGCAGCTTAGCATAGGGAATAATACCAAGAAGCTTACAGACTACCAGGGGAGACATAACCAACGGGACAATAAGGGAATAACTAGTATGGAACTGTGTAGTGCAGACACTGGATGTTCAGAGAACAGGGACATCAAGGGGTCGGGGTCAAGGAGGTGGGCCATGAACTGGCCTTACAGATCCATAGAGTTTAGGAGGAGAGAAAAAAGACATGGAAAGGAACACATGAGCTAGAGCCCAAGATGACATGAATGTGTTGGATAACAGAGCCTGCAATGAAGATACTGCTAGGAGTTGCAGATGGAATTAAGTCGGAGGGGTAGCCGAAAACTGGTTCTAAATGGCCTTCAAATTCGAACTGTGTATATGATGCTACAGGTGATGGCCAGATGATCCTCTCACAAGAAAGCAGATGCATCATCTATGGACTCAAACTTCATATGCAGCCTTCTGGCTTGGGTGCCTAAGGACAGTGGTGTGGTGATAAGGGAGACTTCACACTCGCCTTTTCCAACTCAACTATGTCCTTGTTGCAATGTCGCTTGGTCAGTCCCTCCCCCATTTCCACTACTGTCCCCTGAGCCTATCTCTCAGTCTATTTAGTGGAACAATGGTCTGGATCATCCACCTTGCAAACCAATACAAATTTGATCAACTTTTTATTAAGTAACTTCCCTATGGGATAGGAAAGTTGACAAGGGATGTATGAGAAGCCTCCCGCTTCTGAGGGAGGAAGGTGAGTATTCCTGTGATGGTTCCTCAGATGTTCTGAGCTCCTTCCTCCAACCTTCCTCCTCCCCACCCATATCCCAACTCCTTCTTTTTCTTGGACATTGTCGCTAAATCTGAACTTAACAAGGATTAGCAAAGGGATCCCAAATGCTTGCCCTAAATTCCATTTACCACAACTGGAAGAAAGAGATCTAAAGCCAAAAATGAAATAGTGAGTCCAGTCATCAAAGTGAGAAGTGGGAAAGGCCCATGATGTCAGCCTGTTCAGGTCAGCATGCCAGGCATGACTGGCTCCCAGTGCCCACATACACGCCACACCCTTCACAGCCTCACACTTCTAAGGATTTTAGGAAAGGAGGAATCACCCCACCCCCACCCCCCAGATACCAGTATTCTGGCAGGAAACCAATCTTTTGCCTCAGCCACTTGTAACACTAGTTGCTGTATGAATTTATGGTGAGCTTCTTAAATCAGAGGCCCCAGAATCTGCCTTTGAGGAGCCAGGGGTAAGATCAATGTAAACTTTGACACTTGTAGGGTGTTTTAAAATCCTTTTCCAGAACATTTGCCTTATTATGATCTCATTTGACTCTCAGAATAAACTTTTTTTTTAAAGATTTATTCATTTATGCATACAGAACTGGGGTACAGGCCAGAGGTACAGGGGCAGTAAGAGGATTCACCAGAGTGGGGAGCAGAACAGGCTGACTGATGAAGTACACTGCTGAGGGAGCAGCGTGCAGGTCAGGAGAGGTCTGTGGTGCCATGTGGGTCACCTCTGGGGTGGGGATCAAACTCATGCTGAAGTGGCTTTCGCTTCGTAGTGCTGTGCTTTAACCTGCTGCCCCAGAATAAATTCTTAAGAGGTCAGTGTTTCATACCCATTGAATAGATGAGAAAATGGAGGCACTCAGTTTGAAAATGTCTTATAATTCAGAAAAGGGAAAAGTATATGGAGACAACACTGACATCCACCTCACCGGGAGCCTGGAGATTTTAAGGCGATTATGTGAGTAAAGAATGGGGCTCAGCACATGGGAACCTCTAACATGTGTCAGAGTTATGATGGGGGTTATGTCCCAACAAACACATCCTTATTTGGAAATATGTCAAGTCAAAATTGCATTTAATATAATATCCAAAAAAATGCTGGCGACCCATATACTGTGGAGGATCAGTTGTTTAGCCTCATGATGGCTTCTCATGAGGGAGAATTACACCACAGATCTCTAGCCCAGGTAAAGGTCAAAATTCTAAATGTAAAATATGATCCCTGCTGAAGGTGAACTGCAGTCATACTGCTTCTAAAGTCAAAAAATCGCAAGCCAAACTGTTACAGGGCACCCCAATGTGAATTGGGTTGCCTATCTGTGAGTCCTCACCAGCATGCTTAAGAGTCAATCATACTGTGGACACAAAGAAGTTCAATAATGGGTTTATTTACCAGGAGAAAGGTAAAGGAACAACCCAGAGAAAAAAAAAGAAATACAAGTTAACCAGAATGTCCTACCAGTTCTACTGACTTGGACTCCAATCGCACGCTGAAAACTGATGGAGAGCCAAAATGACCAGCCATGAACCACCAGGCCAAGCAAGCCCCTAAGCTCACATGTCCAGTTTTATCCCAAACTGGTTGCTCAGCTCCACCCTCTCATCCCAGCATGCTTCTCCTTGGTATTGATGGGATTAGTAGTTCCAGTATCTGGAGTGGGGGCAGAATCCATGAAATCTATATCTTTTACTGAAACCACTGTCCGTCAGGGAGTGTCTCTGCAGGTTCTCAGCCCACAGCATCCACTATGCCTCCTCAGCCCTCACTTGTATGGGGTCCACCTGGGTAGGCGCAGGCTGCTGATGTCTGTACAGGCAGGGACCTGCCCAGTGAGGCGGTCCAGCTGCCCCGAGCTCCGAGAGGCACTGACACAGTAGACCTTTTTCTCATTTTAATGAAGGCATTTGTGGTGGAGCAAAGTGTGTCAGAGCAGAGGAGGCCACATCCACCAGAACCAGGGATAACCACAGAAGCGAAGCCCAAGATTGGCCCCTCTGCAGGAGCACACCGGCCCTCCCTTATGTCTGAACTCATCACAAGGAGAATGTGATCCAATGACCTCCACAGGCTGAAGAGAATAGGAATGAGGCTCAGAGCCTGCACAGAGGAAGCATTAAATGCAAGGCTGCTGGGAGGACAGCAGATGGGCCCCCTGAGAACGCTCTCCTCTGGTGGCCTTTGTAAGCAGGGTATGCTCCCGAGATAGGGATTCTTAGGTGACCTTAGGCAACACCCTACCAACATCACATTCCATTTAAAAGAAATTCTGGAACTCTATGGGGAATTGTGAGCTGCCATCAAAACAAATTGTAGCTGTAATGCCTGAATATTTATAAAAATACCACAAAGGGGCCCTCCCTGGTGGCGCAGCAGGTTAAAGCACAGCACTGAGAATCTAAAGCCGCTTCCGCATGAGTTCGATTCCCGCCTGCCCCGGAGGTGACCATATGGTGTGGCAGACCTCTCCTGACCCGCCCGCTGCTCCCCTCAGCAGTGTACTTCGTCGATCTGCCTGTTCTGCTCCCCACTCTGTCTCTGGTGAAGCCTCTCAACGCCCCTGAGCCTCTGGCCTGTACCCCAGATCTGTATGTACAAATAAATAAATCTAAAAAAAAAAAAATACCACAAAGGTTTGAAATGTTGGAGATTTCCAAGGGGGTCCTGGGGTGGTTGTGAGTTGAAAAGCAGTCCCTGAGTTTTCTTCACCAAGTCTCCTCAGGTCTCCTGAGGGTCAGAGTCACAGTCTCTGAGCTTTTTTCAGAAAAGGCCAGTTCTGGGCCCTCCCTGGTGGCTCAGCGGGCTAAAGCACAGCACTGAGAATCTAAAGCCGCTTCCACACGAGTTTGATTCCCGCCTGCCCCGGAGGTGACCACATGGCGTGGCAGACCTCTCCTGACCCGCCCGCTGGTCCCCTAGTGGTGCACTTCATCGATCTGCCTGTTCTGCTCCCCACTCTGTCTCTGGTGAAGCCTCTCACCGCCTCTGGCCTGTACCCCAGTTCTGTATGCACCAATAAATAAATCTTAAAAAAAAGAAAGAAAAGGCCAATTCTGTGGCTCTCAATAAGAGTGTCGCCCCCAACTCCCTGGAGGATTTATTAAAAACTAACATCAGTGGATCACACCCCCAGCTTATGCACATATTCTAGAGTGGCATCTGACAACCTGCATTTCTGGCAAGTTTCTGGGTTTAGTACACACTCTGAGGACTACTAGTTTACATGAGATATCTCTGAAGAACTTTGATTTCCCCAAAGTAAAAACTCAGTCTCATTCATCTTTGGAGTCCTGCAGTCAACATTTGTGAGAGTAAATAGAATTCTGGATGGTGGAGCAAAGCTTCAATTGGAAGGGCTTGAGTCAAGGAATGGATGGAAGGCACAAAATTAAATATTAATAGTTCTAGAGTAAGTCTGGGTCCTACAATGAGTCAGATTCTAGTACACAAATCTCTATCATTGATGAGAGGGCATAGCCACTTTTGAATGTTTGGCTCATGGTCTCAAAAATAATAAATGGTAGAGCTGGTGGAATTTAAATAGAATGGAAGTCACTCACTTTTGCAGAGGGGAATGGAGGCTCAGAGTGACTATCTCTGTGTGACCTCATGGCTCATTAGATCACTTTCGGATGCTTCCTGCCCTCATGGAAGCATCCCATAAGCCACCTTCCACTGTCTCATAATGAGACTTGAAAAATTCTCAATGCAGGGCCCTCCCTGGTGGCACAATATGTTAAAGCTCAGCACTCTGAAGCTATCCATAACCACTGCAGCACGAGTTTGATCCCCATTCAGGGAGGTGACCCACATGGCACAGTAGACCTCTTCTGTCCTGCCTGCTGCTCCCCTCAGCAGTGTATTTCAGACAATCCTCCTGTTCTGCTCCCCGCTCTATCTCTGGTAAGACTTCTCACCACCCACACCTCCAGCCTATACCCCAGTTCTGTATGCATAACTAAATAAAGTTCTCAATGCAGCTGGCATCACAGCATGAGCTTTGCATGTACCTGGGGGCATTAAAACTATTTGTTGTATAAAGACATACTGCTTCTCCACTTCGGGAGAGGTTTCCAGAAAAAAAGAACTCTTTTCTCTGT